ATATAAGGAGACACTCTTAAATAAAGTCCCCTTGGGAGGAGCTGGAGAGATGGTTCAGCAGCTAAGAGTGCACACTGTTCTCCCAGAGACTCCTCACTAGAGACTTGACTAATTTTCCTTATGATTATGGAATTATTACATACATGCTTGAGCTGCATGCTGTCGAGTGATGTGTCCTTGGTGTGTTATATCGGGGAGGTTTGAAACCTGTGCCGCTACTGGTTTTAAAAAGTAGCCACTTAGTTGAGGTGGTAGTTGCAGCAGCTCCTGTTGTTAGCATTGTCACTGCTAACAGAACAAAAGAGAACGTAACCCCTCTAAACCAGCAAGGAATGGCTTTAAGAGGGTGGGAGCAATGCTGAGTGTGTGGTGGCACACGCCTTTAATCCCAGTGCTTGGGAGGCAGAGGCAGCAGATCTCTTGTGACAGGCCCTAAAGCAATACAGAGAAGCCCTGTCTCGAACCCCCTCTCCCCCCCCCCCCAAAAAAAAAGAGGGTAGAAACAAACTTCAGCCCAGAACAGTCAAGGAGCAACATAGGAGTGATTAAGAGCATATCCATGTAGTGCCATTAAAAACCTCATTATAGTTATATAATCATAAATGTCAATGATGACTGGATTTATTTTAAGTATAATGATTAACAGTTACTTTCCGGAAAGTCAGAGACTTTGAAATTAGAAGATAATCAAATTTCAGTTATTATGAAACAAAACTAAAATATACTTAAAACATTACAAATTAAAAGGTGGAAATGGTATGTTGTGGATCAAGTAGATAATTACTAAACATAGTCTGTGATGTGAGTGAGGGGGTCTGGTGCAGGTGACCATTAGATTATCCAGGCCATTACTGATGAGCATTGGCTCAGCTCTCCAGGAGAGCTTACCCAAGTTGCCATTTGCCATACTAGCTTCAAGATTTCTGTAGTAAACTTTGGAAGCCAGGCGCTTTCTATCATGTCTCTGTACTTGAGACCCTAAGGCAATTGTAAATTTGAGACTACTGTGACTGAAATAGCAAAATTATTTAAAAAAAAAAAAAAAAAAAGGAAATGCAGTCATGTGATGTGCAATAAATAAAGCACTTGGCAGAGTTTATGAGGGAAAATGGGGAGATTACCATCTATGTCTGAGAAGTTCAGTGTATACCCTCAGCTAAGATCTTAAGTGGTTACTGAGATGTATATAGACCTAATAATTGTCCAGTATTCTGAGCAAGTGCAGAAACTGTTGATCACAGGAGGTAACATGACTCCGTAGCCACACAAGTACTTAGGATTTGAGTTCTGTGTCAAGATTGAATTTTATAATGAAACAATGACCTTTCTTACTGTTGCAGGGATATAACTGGTGCCATGATCGGAATGTGGTTACCATTTTTAGTGCACCCAATTACTGCTACCGCTGTGGAAACCAGGCTGCTATCATGGAATTAGATGACACTTTAAAATATTCTTTGTAAGTAACTGTACATTTTAATTATATGTAATTGCTTTTAGAGGGAGCTGCTGAAAAACAGTTAGGGGCTGGGAAGACGGTTCAGCAGCTCTGAGGCCTTGCTACAGTCATGAAGACTGGAGTTCAGATCCCACAAAGACCCGACACCCTCTTCTGGCCTGTATAGATACATGTACATGTGTGCAGAGTCATATACACATATGCATGCATGAATAAAAATAGTCTTAGAATGAAAACCATGAAAGGTTTTCCCAGACATTTAACTGTAAAAATTGTTTTCTTTTGATGTGCTGGGCATGCAACCATGGCCTCATACATGCCAGTGCATTACTATGCCACTGAGCTACATACAGTCCAGAAAAAGGTTTTAATTATTTATAGTTCATTGGAATTTTCCCAAGAGCTTACAGGTAATGGAAAAATATTTAACCTAAGAGAACCTTAAGCCTGGTATGGTAGTACACATACTTAATCCTAACTTTTGGGAGGCAGAACTTGAGACCAGTCTGGTCTAAGCAGTGAGTTCCAGGACAGTTGGAACTACACACAAATACCCTGTCGCAGAAAAAACAAACAAATGAACAAGAACCCAGACAAGCACAGAAACCTGTCCATTATAACTACTCAAGGCTTGCATCCCTCCCCTTATTCACACATTACTCTAACAAAATCTACTCTAGGGTATGCGAGAGATGGTTTGGTGGTTAAGAGCACAGGCTGCTTTCAGATGACACAAGTTTAATTCCCAGCACCTACATGGCTGCTCATAGCCATCTGTAATTCCAATTCTAAGGTTCCCTCTTCTGACATTTTTGAGCACTGGCAGCACAGGATTATTATTTTAAAAGAAGCTTAAAGTAATAAAACATGTTCTACTGGGGTTGTGGCCCCATGGGCCACAATGATGGGTTTGAGGCCAGTACTGTATGAATGGCCTTGGTGATATGCATCTGTGATCCCAATACTCAGGGTTCAAGGCCAACCTGGGATACATGAGACCTTATTTCAAAACAAAATTGTAAATAAATAAAACATGTGCTATATATGACACATGTTTGCCTATGATCCCAACACTTACAACACAAAGTAGAGACAGGGAGATCAGGAGTTCAGAGTGGGCCTTTACTGTGAGTTTGGGGCCACTCTAGGCTACATGAAACTTTGTCAACAAAAGCAACAGAAATTGAAAATAAATAAAATACTTATCCCTGACAGTTATGAAGGTAAACCAGTACCTATGGTTTACATCCTTTCAGGACTGCTTGGAGAAGGAAGCTACAAATGGGATTAATCCCAAGATCACAGATTTGACTCAGATATGAAAATGGACCCCCCTCAAAACAAAGAAAGAAACTGATAACAGACAGAAAAGGCACTTGATAAAATTCAGTGTAATTTATATAAAATCAGCAAGCTCTACACAGAAGGAAACGTCTGTGGCTGAAGACAGATAAATACTCACCCTGATTTACCCACATGATGGTGAGAAACAGCACTGATCCTAAGGCCCTTCAACTGATATTAGTGTCTGTTAGAGTCTTTTCTGCCAGGCGCTAACAGCCATGTTGTTTAAATTTTCACCACAGCTCTGTTAAGTAATACGATTGATCACCTGTAGTGATGTGCTCAGGGTTATTCCAGCCACATGGAATGTAGTAGTAGCAGAATACGGAAGGGATAGCTATGTCTAGTGAGTATCTTAGTGGCTTACTTGCTGATTGAATTTCTTTGTCATTTATAGTCTTCAGTTTGACCCAGCACCTCGTCGTGGAGAGCCTCATGTGACCCGGCGTACCCCAGACTACTTCTTATAAATTCCTCTCCAGGACCTTTCTTTGTATGTGGAAGTATACCTGGCTTTTTAAAATATATATACATATATATATTTAAAAACAACAGTTATCTATGTGTTTCTGTAACAAATTGTGATATGTCTTGACATTAAACTACATCATGGACCAAATGTGCCATACTAATGATGAGCGTTTAGCACAATTTGAGACTGAACGTACTACACTGTGTTCTAGATCAGTCTGCCTGCTGTGTTGTAAGAACCATTCTTCCTGGCTGGTTAAGCAAAAAGGGGTCACTGACTGCTTCATCTCCTTTGCACTTGGAAATTTAGTTAACAGTGTTTAACTGGCATGGATTAATAGAGTCGGAGTTTTATTTTTAAGATTTCACAACCTGACTTCCACTTAATTCATTACCCTTTATTTTATTGAAATGTGTACCTAACTGAAGAAGAGATTCTTGGGAGTATGTTGTCATAACATTAAAGAGATTTCCTTTCATTTAAACTAAATTACTGTTTGATGTTGATCTGCATTATTTCTGTATATTTGTCATGACAGTGCTTGCATCCTATTTGGTGTACTGAACAAATAAACTTTCCAATTTAAACAAAAACATGTGAGCTGTGGTATGCATTAAAGGGAAGAATCACCATTTTAAAACAATGCAAACACTTGACGATGGTTGGTTGTTTTTCATTTACTTTGACTTTTGAAATGGTCTTGTATAGTCCCAAATGACCTTGAACTCCTTGGTTCTCCTGGCTCTACCTCCCAAGGATTACAGGTGTAGGACAGATATGTAATAAAAATGAGCAACTGTACTGACAGGGTTTACATGGTGAGCCTAGGGGCAGAGATTAACTCTGGTAGGCGCTTGCTCATATCCAATTCCAGGTTATATGCGCATATTGGAGCACACAAACACAAGTAATGTTTGTTTATAGTTTACATTTAGAAGCAGGACAAAGTCAAGTATTTGCTGATAACTTTTACACCATTAAAATCCATTTTCACATTTCTAAACATTTCATTGGGTGGTTTGTATTAATTTATTCTTTTGGGTGGGGCTGGGGAGGGTTGAGACAGTACTTCTCTGTGTAGCCTTGGCTGTCCTGGAACTTGCTCTGTAGATCAAGCTGGGCTCAAACTCCTCCTGCCTTGCTTCCCAAGTGCTGGGATTTAAGGCATACACCACCACTTTCTGGTTTGTTATCTTTCTTAATCTTTAATATTTTGAAGACAAGGTCTCATGTTCACTCTGAAATGTCTTAAGTCCTTATTCCTATTTCTAGGTCAAAAGAGACAACCTATCTTGCCTTTTAAAATTTCTTTTTACATTCATAACATCTATAGTTATTAAAACAGACAATCCAAATTTTGTACTTAAAATTATGAATAAATTGGCCAGGTGGTGGTGACTCCTGACTTTAATCCCAGTACTCGGGAGGCAGAGGCCAGTGGATCTGAGTTCGAAGTCAGCATGATCTACAGAGAGAGTTCCAGGACAGCCAGGACTATACAGAGAAATCCTGCCTCCAAAAACCAAAATAATAATAAGATTAAGAAAGATACCTTAAGACAGACTGTAAGGGTATCAGTGTACAAAAACAATACACTCCAAATGTACCTACCTACCAACAATGACCTTATTTACTGTAGTTTCAATGTGTTCCCCAAAGATCATGTTTCAAAAACTTCGTCCCCAGCTTTGAGTCAAAATTACATAGGATCAGACCACTCTGAAATTTCTTTTAAAGTCTTTAAATTTTTAGAAATACAGTAGAATCAACATTTCTACTTGAAGATTTTGAATTTTGAAATAACTGTGGTAAGGTGGAGTCAAGAAGCAAAAATCACAGATCTTAAATAAATAAGGCAGGACCATGTGTCACCATGCCTGCCTGAGACCAAATATCAGATGTCTGTCTTACTACATCTTTTTTACCTTGTTCTCACTTTGGTACAATGTAAGGTGACAGTCCTCTTCCATTGTATGTAGGTGTGCTCCTATGAACAAGAAGAGTTCAAGGTACAGCACAGCTTTAATGTCAACACTGCCCTGTGAAGTCACATGTACCAACTTGAAGGACAACAGGTAGTTCTGACTTTACTGGCCACTTTGTTCTTTCTCTTCTACATTAAGTACAGTATCCACAGTTATTCCTATGTCCTCCAGTGACAAGCCTCCCTCTGCTTCCAGAGGCCTTCTGGGAAAGGAAGTGGAAAGGCTGTATAGGGATTTGTGGTACCCAATTTTCATCATCCAGTCAAATAAGACCTAGAAGGGAAAAAGCTTTAGTATCAGAGTAAAGGTTCCTCCAGAATCTCTCACTATGACACTGTACAGCTGTCATTCTGAAATTGTGTCCCAAGGAATGAAAAGTAATTTTCTAATTGCTTTCAAAGAAATTTTCTAGACTTTAAGGGAGAGTGGTATGTCATGAATTTGGAGATATGAATAACCTTAAATGCTTTTCCAGAGACAGTATAGGCCTACTAGTATAATAACAAATTCTTATCCATAAATAGGGTATGGAAAATATTCAGTGAAATGTTGAGAACAAAAAATATTTGGAAACAGAAATATGGATCAAAATCTAAGCCAACAGAACATATCAAAATCATGAAGGAGCTTTATCAAAATGGACATATTTGGGCCCCTGAGACAAAGCCCAATTTACTGTGAACCATTCCTATAACTGTGCATAAAGATTACCATACACACACTGGGTCCAGCACCACAAAAAGAAAAAAAAAAAAAAAGATAAAAAATTTCAAATCCATTTGAAAACATATTTGCCTCAAAACCTGAAATATTAAAGCATGTTTTGCTTCAAAAAGAAAAAGTTTGATATATTCTATTACAACTGTAGTCCCAGCTGAGGCTGGAACCAAAAGTTACTGGGTTTGAGACCAGCCCAGGTAGCAGCAAGATTTTGTGTCTCAACAACAAAAAACAAAACAAATGACAAAGATAAAATGTTCAAAGTGCCTTGAATTGCTAGCCACCAGCCAAGAATCTACTACTGATCTATATAAGAAATCTGTATGTCATAATTTTAATTAAGACATTTTTACAAGTGTAAGAATGGAATCCAGGTCTTTTGTACATGCTGAGCACCCACTCTGCCACTAAGTTTATACTTCTAACATTACATCTTTCTATCAGGCATGTGGTGGTGCACGCCTTTAATCTTAGTCCTCGGGAGGCAGAGAGAGGCAGGTAGATGGATCTCTTGAGTTTGAAGCCAGCTTGGTCTACGGACATAGTTCCAGGGCAGCCACAGTTACACAGAAACCCTATGTCAAAAAACAACCTAAGACCTTTCTGTAGATGATTTTGAGTCAGGGTCTCACAAACTGGTTCCAAACTCACAGTGCTACCAGGTGTCATACCCATAACCTCTGAGGTAGAAGGATTACACTCCAGTTACACCTGCAACCCCCAAATAAGACTTTTTAAAATAAGCTGCCAGGTGTGTTAGCTCATGCCTGTGATCTAAGCTCTCGGGAGGCTGACACAGCCTCAACACACCATGTTATCCACCAACTAAAATGTAATTAAACAAGGAAATACAGCCAGTAAGAGAATGTCTGCTTGAAGCCTTAGAGCTATCCTGTTGTGGATTAATCGTTTTGTTCACTGTGAAGATGTATCATTCTGATTAGTTTAGTAAGCTGAACAGCCAATAGCTAGGCAGTATTTTCAGACAAACAGCATGCTGGGAAAAAGCAAGGCAGAGAGGAAGAAGTATGGACAGTACAAAGTAAAGGTAATAAAGCCATGAGACAAAGTAGATTAATAAAAATCAGTTAAGTTGTAAGAGCTAGTTAGTAACAAGCCTAAGCTATCAGCTGAGTTTTTAATAATAAGTCTCTGTGTCATTTATTTGGGAGCTGGCTGGTGGGGCAGAGAAAGACTAGCTACACTAGCCTAACACTAAAAAAGGAGAAATAATGAGAAAAACAACAATGTAAATGTAGGGATCACAATTCAAAGAAATTATCAACCCTTATGCAAAGCAGAATATCCATATTGTCTATGTGGTAACAGATCCCACTGCCTCTGAACACACTATTAGCAAATCTGGTAAGTCAGTATTTCCGAAAACACTGATTTCCTCACCTGTGAATTCCAAGACTTGAAAAATCTTCTCCTCAAAACACACCCACTTGGGCATCGAAGGGCAACTGTAACCACCTGGGGAACAAAACAGTCAAATAAGCCACAGTGGTCACCCAGATCTGCAAACCACACAGGAGGCTGAGGCAAAGAGACTACACACGTGAGGTCAGCCTGAGCTATAAATATAAAGCAAGACCTTATCTCAAGAACAGAAGTCCAGATAGGGACTCCAGTCCGACCTAGGGATGTGGCTCAGCTGGTAGAGACTTTGCCTAGCATGTACAAAGCCCTGGGTTCAATAATCATCCCCACAAACACCAGCAAGGTGATACAAGCCAGTTCCCTAAACTGTAAAGGCAGAGACAGAATCGGAAACTCAAGATAGTAAGTTTGAGACCATCCTAGACTAACTACATGAAAACGACCTCAAAAAAGGTTAAGTAGGCTGAAGAGATAGATGCTTGAGTGGCTAAGAGCACTGGCTCTTTTAGAGACACAAGTTCAGTTCGCAGCACTATAGCCACTGACAACACCAGTTCCTGGCGATATGAAGCCCTCTTCTGATTTCCATGTGGTACACAGACATACATTCAGATAACACACTGCACATAGCAAATCTAAAAGAAAATTATTTTTAGCTGGGCGGTAGGGCACATCTTTAATCCCAGTACTCAAGAGGTAGAGGCAGAAGGATCTCTGTAAATCCAGGCCAGCCTAGTCTATAGACCAAGTTCCTTAATCCCGGTACTCAAGAGGTAGAGGCAGGAGGATCTCTGTAAGTCCAGGCCAGCCTGGTCTATAGAGCGAGTTCCAGGACAGCCCCCAAAGCTACAGAGACACCTTGTCTAGGAAAACAAAATATTGTTAAAAGAGCGTGTACTGCTCTTGCAGAGAACCTGGCTTCAGTTCCCCAACACTCATGCACATTAGGGACTCCCAACATCCCAAAACTCCATTCTACAGGATCCAATGACTGTCTCTGGCCTCAAAGGCATCTGCATGCATATGGGACACATAAACTCAGGCACACACACGGTAAGTGTTTTCCTCCCAGAATCTCTCTTAAAATGGCTACTTCAAAGACTGTATTGGTGGCACAGGCCTTTTAAATCTCTGAGAGTTTGAGGCCAGCCTAGTCTACAAAAGCTAGTTCTAGGACAATTTCCAAAGCCACAGAGAAACCCTGTCTCAGAAAAATCAAAAGAAAAAAAAAAAAAAAAAGGCTGCTTAAAAAACTGTTCTCTGAGGAGTCTAATGGATGCTGAACTTCACAAAATGGGACAATGTCAGCTCTCTTATTTCATGGTCCTAAATATACGTGGTCTCCCTGCATCAGACAATCACCTATGACCAATAGCAGAAACCAAGACAGGCTCCCTCCATGACCAGGCAGGTGGGGTATCTGTCCGCCCAGCAACAGTGAGCCACTCCTTCAATGGTCAAACAGCTGAAGTTTCGTCTGAGTGGAGACCAGTGTGACACCATCTGCCTATCTCAAAGCTGCTATTCCGTAGTAAGCAGCTCACTTACTGATCGGTGCCCTCTCTGCCTGGGTGTGCTGTACGTGGCAGCTCAGCAGACTGCCTCCCAGGGCAGCACTCAGCTGAGCCTCTGATGCCACCCTCACAAGAGACATGACCCCAGGGCAGCCACAGGAACCTGTTCTTCTCTCTAAACCCTACCTGATGACATCCAAGGAAATGGAGAATACGAGAAACATACCTCTTCAGCTGTTTCTGGTGGTTCTTCGGGTAAATCAGGGACCTAAAGAAATCTGAGTATTAGTGACAGGAAAGTAAAAAATATTCCCAAGAAGTGAGAAGTCTAAAGAAGATCCCCATTCAGTAGGTTAAGGTTACATGCATCTAGGTTTTAAAAAGGTTTCTTAATATATACATCTACCAAGCATTTATAGTGAGGCCCAGTCTGGTGGCACCATTTAAAGAAACAGGAAAAGCCTTGGGTTGTAGTACAGGCTGTCGTCATAGCACCTGGGAGGTAGAAGCATAATGCCTTGCTGTCATGCACAAAATTACTTAGGGCCACTGATTAAAACTTCTTGAGTTTATGTGAATAAGGCATACAGAAATGAATGTGTTTATACCTGAGCTTATCCCAGTATCTCATTATATAAACATGAAAATATCCTACAATCTGAAATATTTCTGATCCAGGCACTTAAAATGAGGGTTTTCAGCCTGTAAAAGGCACTGGCCAATCACAAGACACACCAGGATTATCCTAAGACATACAGAGGGCATGCTTCCCTTCGTGAACACTGGCCTTTTCTTCTCCACACAACCAAATTGTGTTCGTAATGCAGTAGCATTATCTTCTAGCTTTCCTTTTAATTTAGTTCAGATTTTTGTGATTAAGTAGGACCTAGCATCTATATAGCTGTTCCTCTGCAAGGTGGCGAGAAGACACCATCTGTTAGAAGCCATCCTCCTCTTTCCATGGTAGCCACACAGTGAGTGGTGTGGACGAACCTCCTTCTTGGCAGGCTGTGGAGCAGGTGGTGTGATTTCCGTTAAAAGCTTGGGCAAGTTCCGTCTCCTTGCTGCTTCTCTGTTTGTTGTTTCAAACAACACCTGACTCGAATTGTCAAGCACCAAATCTTCATCCCCCTGGTCAAAAAAGAAAAAAGAAAAAAAAAAAAAAGGAACAATTCTAAAAAGGCATGTTCTGTCAACTAGATTCTGTTCACAATGGTTACTTTAACTAAAGCATAATAATCTCCTTGGACAAGAAAACGGGCCTTCAGAATTGACCTTTATCCAGTCCTCACAAAAGGCTGGGCACAGAAGGACATTCCTGTAACTCCAGCAGGGAGTTACAGGGCAGAACCAGGAAATCACCAGCCAGCTAACCTAGTTAAAACAGTGAGTTTCAGGTTCAGTAAGAGGCAGTGTCTCAAAAGTAAGGTCAAGGACTGCAGAAGTGGGTCAACCGTTAAGAGCACTGGCTGCTCTTCCAGAGACCCGGCTTTGATTCTCAACACCCACCCAGTGGCTCACAACCATCTTCAAAACTCCAGTTCCAGGCGAGCCAAGGCCCTCTTCTGGCCTCTGTGGGCACAGGCTAGGCATGTAGTATACAGAATACAGACAAGTAAAACACCCATAATAAATAAATAAATAAAATAATAAAATGGAAAAAAAAAAGCTAGGTGTAAAGTGACAGAAAGGTCATTTGATGTTCTCTGGCCTCATCATGGGTACACAAGCCATACATGCCCACACACACAGGAAGTCACCACACACAGCAGTGGTACTGTATATTGGCCAGCTTTGGCATCTGTTATGTTTTACCTGCTCTTGACTGTCTAGGGCACACTGGCCATTGTGAAACAAGAATGGGCCCTGCTGATAAGCATCTGGTCATCTTTACTGCATCCTTTCCTTTGCAAGATAATGGAAGATGCAGCATAAGCAGCAAACACAAAACACACAAAAATGTGGCCTTAATCTAAAAATCAGTCACCAGTACTCCTTCCCATAAGCCCTTTCTCCGTATAAATACTTAACTGTAAACCCCATGACCAAATGAAAAACAGGTATCAACAACAATGACTTTAAAAACAGAACCAAGCTTGATGGACACAATGTGAGTCTGGGGCTGGAGAGATGACACGGCACAAGAGAACATTTGCTGCTGTGATAGGTGACATAGGCTTGGCTACCAGCACACACATGAAGGCTAACAACCATGTGACTTGCTCTTCTGAGTACACATGCATATATGCAAGCAAAATACTCATGTGATGGGAGATGCCATTATGTTTCTCATACTGGTTAATGAATAAAGCACTGTTGGCCAATAGGAAATGAAGATAGGAGGGACTAGAAGACAAGGAGGAAAGAGGAAGTAGTAAGGAGGAGTCAAGATGGAGAGTCTGGAGAAGGCAGAACCACCAGCCGCCTCTCCCTGGTAAGACCACGTGGAAATACATAGAAATGGGTTAATAATTAAGACAGAGCTAGCCGATAAGAAACTAGTACCTGGCCAACAGAATTATATCTAATACAGAGTCTCTGTGTATTAATTGGGGCTGGTGCGGCGGCGGGTAGAGAAAACCTTACCCATTACACTCATGCACATAAAGTAAATCTATTTCTTAATGTGAGTTTAATACTCTGGATATCTGGATATTTTACTTACGCAAAGATCAGAATTTCCTCAGAACAGTGTTATTCAATGGTTTTCTCAGAGACTACATTATCACAGGTACAATACAAAAACAAAAACAAAAAACCACTTAACCACTTCACACACAAATGCACAAATGCACTAAATAAAAACTGATGGGGAGTCAAACATTGTGGTGCATGCAAGGAATCCCAGCATTTAAGCACCAGAAGCAGGAGAAGTACTCCAAGACTGAGATCAGCAAAGGCTACACAATGAGTTCAAGGCTGCCCTGGGCTCCACAGTGAGATCCTGACTCAAAACCCTACCAAACACAAAAAAATCTATACATAAAAGGAAACATGAGCACAAATATGGTGTTTGAATATATATGTATACATACATACATACATACATACATACATACATACATACATATATATGCATGCATGCATGCCTGCCTGTCTGCCTGCCTGCCTAGGAGCTGGGGAGATGTCTCAGTGAGAAAACACTTGCTGCCCTGAGGAATCAAATTTAGGTCCTAGCACCCATGTACAAAAAAGGTATGGTGGTGGTACACTATAACCCAGGGCTGGAGGTGAATCAGGGACCCCACCTGTCCAGCCACACAGCTGAAACTATGGGCTCAGGTGCAGTGAGAGACTATCTCCAAAACAAGGGGGAGGGGAAAGAGGGGGAGAGAGACATCTGGCATGGAACTCTAGCATGTGCCTACATGGGCAAGTGTATACATACACACACACACACACACACACCAACAACAACAACAGGGAACAATAATAGGATTCAAAATATAAAATAAGCATTTTTCTAACCTCAAGTTTGTGGCCAGTAGTTAATTTCCAGGTTTCACCTGTCATTTGATAAAAGCGTTCTTCTAGTTTTTTCAATTTCATTTCTTGCTGAGGTTTTAAAACATTCTGTATATATCTGCTGGCCTATTCAAGGAAAAAGGTGTTATTACTTTACATTAGTATTTCTAGACATTCCCATTGTCCATAAAACCTGTGGTGGTTTGAATAGGAATGGCCCCATAGGCTCATGCGAGTGGCACTATCAGAAAGAAGTGTCACTGGGGGTGGCTGTGAAAATTCACCAGCTCAAGCCAGGCCCATTCCCTTCTGATCAGGACGGAGAACTCTCCAGCAACCACATTGGCCTGCATGCCTCCATGCTTTCCCTCCATGATGACAATGGACTAAACCTCTGAACTGTAAGCCAGCCCCAGTTAAATGTTTTCCTTATAAGAGGTGTCATGGCCACAGTGTTACAACAACAGTAACCCTAAGACAGAATCATACATTTGAATATTTAGTCACCCTAGGAGGTGTGGCCTCCACACCCTGTGGAGGTGGTGTGTTACTGAGGGTAAGCTTTGTGGTTTCAAAAGCCCATGACAGGCCCAGCATCACTCGGCCTGCTACCTGTGGATCAAGATATAAAACTTTTGCCTGACCTCATGCTCCCTGACATGATGATCATGGACTAGGCCTATGAAACTATAAGCCAGCCTTGATCATGGTCTCTTCATAGCAACAGAACAGTGACCAAGACTCAGAGATAACAAAAAAAAAAAAAAAATACTACACATGCAAAACAAGGATATTCTGGGCATAGTATCACACACCTTTGAGCTCAGCACTCAGGCTGCTGAACTGAGGCAGGAAGATTCTGAAACTGGGGCCAACATTGGCTACAACAGTAGTCAGGTAGGTGAAGGCACCTGCCACCCTGCCTGACTCCCCCATCTGAGTTCAAACCATGGGACCCACACAGTGCAAGGAGAGAACCAACTCCATCCACACACATCACACAGACAGACACATGAATGAAGACTTTTATTCTAATTTTAAAGGGTCAACATTGAGTTTGATAATCGAAGCACTTAGGGAGGAGAACAGCCTAAATTCAAGGTCAGCCTGCAATACAAGGAACCTAGTCTCCAAAATAGAGGGAGGGCAAGACCGTATACCGTGTGAATTAGACACTGGTAACTGCACATGCAGACCTCAGCACACGCAGACCTCAGCACACGCACACGCACAGTGAGACACCGGGAACTGCACACGCAGACCTCAGCACACACAGACCTCAGCACACGCACAGTGAGACAGCCTACAGACGTCCTGAGGACCCAGCCTTACCTGCTCACCCTGGGCCTCCTGCTGCTTTTTCCTCACGAGCCTTTGTCTTTTCTCATTCTCTTCTTCTCCTTCTGACCCCAAAACATCAAAGTACTTTTTCATTCTCAAGTATCAAAGGATAAAATACATTTTTCTCTAAAAAATATCCTATAGAATTCAATGTTTTAAAAGACATTAGCACTATGTTTTTTTGAGATAATGAAAATGGGGTACATTCAACCAGTAAAAATGAAGTCATCTGCATATGAACTTGTAATAAAAGCTGTGCTCTGAAACATTTCACTAACATTTATTATTATATATAACAAATTTCTTGTTTTGGAGGCAGGGCCTTTCTACATAGCCCTGGCTGGCCTGGAACTAGGTATCCTCCTGCCTCAGCTTCCCAAATGCTATGATTACAACAGCATGGGCCACCACACACATCCTAAAGTTTTAATATTATATATTATGTAGCATTAGCCTTCAGTGAAGATTAAGCCAATAACCTGTCAACCCCTAAGTAAGACATGTGACTCACACTCAAATGATGCAAATGAACCATTTACATGGGCAGGAGCCACCAAGGGCACATTTCCACATTTATTAACAGCAGACCTCAAGAGCTTGAGGAGCAATGTGAGCAAGCGAGGTCTTCCTGACAGCAACACATTTTCACTTTATTAGATTTTTTTTTAGAGGATAAGGACTGAACCTTGGGCACACATGCTATTCATGTTTCTACAACTAAGGTTCACACAAGCCCTAAAAATGCAACTCACATAAAGTTCCTAATGGAAATTACAATGCTCTTGTTTAATTTCCAAATTAGGTCACCTGAAGAATCAGAGATCAAAGCAGAGAAAAGACAAAATCTATGATTGGGAAACCCCAAAGCATATACATTGTCATCTACTTATTGGGTTGAATAATCCTTTGCAGTTTTGTTTTGTTTTGTTTTTTGCCTGGTTAATGTGAAGAGGCTATACATGTATACCATTCGCTGTATTTTTATATTGTAAAATCAGGAACAGAGGCTGAGGTGTAGCCTGGTTAATAGAATGCTTGCCTGGCACACACAAAGTTCTGGAATGAATGTGTAGCACCACAAACTTCCATGCTTATTGGTGGATGCTTGTGGGCTCAGCACTCAGGAGAGGGAGACAGGAGGATCAGGAATTCAAAGTTGCCCTCAGCTGTATAGTAAGTACCAAGGCAGCTTGGCTTATAGAACTCACTGTCTCTCTTTTTGTTTGTTTTTTGAGGTTCTCTGTGTAACAGCTCTGGATGTCCTGGAGCTTTGTAGTCCAGGCTGGCCTTGAACTCACAGAGACCCACCTGCCTCCTGAGTGCTGGGATTAAAGGCATGCAGCACTATCACCTGGCCTTGTTTCTGTTTTTTAAGATAGTGTGTTCTGGCTGGGCTGTGGTGGTGGTGGTGGTGTCGATGTGTGCCTTTAGCACTCAGAAGGTCGAGGGAGGTGGATCTCAGTGAGTTCAAGGCCAGTCTGATCTACAGTTCCAGGACAGCCAAGACTGCTACACAGAGAAACCCTGTCTCGAAAAACAACAAAAAAGCCAAATTCTTTACTGGGACACTTTTGTTAATACATTTAAGAACAGCTGTTAGTTTTAAAAGTAATCTGTTATAAAGCCAAGTGCAATACTGGCTTTTGTTTTGCTTTGCTTTGTTTTCAATTTTATGTATACAAGTGTTCTGTCTACATATATATCTGTGTACCACATATATGCAGGGCCCATGGAGGCTAGAAGACGGTGTCAGGTCCCCAGGAACCAGAGTTACAGACAGTTGTAAGACACCATGTGGGTGATGGGAATAGAACTCAGGTCCTCTGGAAGAGCAGCCAGTGCTCTTAACCACTACCACCTCTCTGTCCCGTGGTGTTTGCAGTGTCTTGGGCTGGTGAAATAGCTCAGGGGGTAAACACTCACTGCCAAACTTTATGCCCTTAGTTCCGCCCGTGGGACCCACGACTCCCACTTGAAACTACACATCACAAATTAATGGTCAAACAGTTCTTACTGTGGAATAAACAAAAGAAAGAAATTTGGATAGAAAAGGTTACTTTTTTATTTTTTAAAGTTTAAAAATATGCAAAGATAACACAAGTAGTAAGCATACCTTTCAGGTGAGCCTGGGAAGATTTAAATGAGTTAAACCAGGAGGTGGCCACGGAGATGACTAATGTCAGCAGGGCAAGCAGCAGGAATATCCGGCCACTCAGCAAAATGAGATCTTTAATTCCTTAGAAAGAAAAATTGAAATGAAACATTTTTCTTTAAAAGAAAAATCCTCACTCTCCCTGCTACTAATAACAAATGAGAGGTTGTCTATACTACAAAGCACAGTAAATGCTAAATGATGCAAACATCCTTGATGATTTTCCTGAGACCCCTGGGGCACTGTCACTACCACAAGGAACTGAGAAAATACTTCTAGAAGAAACATCCTGTTTTAGGAAGACACGGTGTTCAGCTGCATTATAAATATTATGAGTATTACCAATGCTCAAGATTTGGTTTCCTTATAAGATTGAGGGTAGTATCTTGTCAAATTCGAGTTCTATAGTCATTCCCAAAAAATGACATTAAATTTTTCTTCAAGAATTTGTTACTTGGGGCACTGGGGGGTGGGGGCAGAGCGCACCCCCCCCCCATGCACATGAGGTCAGGGGATAACTTGCAAGAGTCAGTTCTCTCTCTCAACTCCACATGGGTTCCAGGAATTGAGTGTGGTCACCAAGCTTGGCAGTAAGTACCATTTCCAGTGGAGCCATCCTGCTGGCCAAAATGTTTATTTGCTCATTTACTTCTTTAGTACAGGGCCTTAGCCTCCAGCTGTCTACGCATACTTTTATCTGCTGTGGTATGCACACCTGTCTAGTCCATGAAACGCCAAATTCTTTCTCAGGACTGCACTGCACCCTTGTGTTTCTCTAGTTCCCAGCACTTACTGGTTTGCACATAACATTTCTACTCATATGTTTATCTGGGGGAAAGATAACAATTCAAAACTTCTCACACTGTTTTTGAGAGCCTAGGCAAAGATTCAATTTTCAAAAGCTTAGTATCACCAGGCTGTGGTGGCACACACCTTTAGTCCCAGCACTAGGGAGGCAGAGGCAAGTTGATCTCTGTGAGTTCAAGGCCAGCCTGGTCTACAGAGTGAGTTCCAGGACAGCAGGGACTACACAGAGAAAAATCCTGTCTCTAAAAAAAAAAAAATTTAAAAGAATGTCAGTCTTGTTTAATGCAATTTGTTAAATACTGAGGGAAGAGATGTAATCGGATCAAAATTTATCCTGTTTTTAGACTGTTCCTTTGTTTTGTTTTGTTTGGCCCTGAAACCTGATTCCAGAATGCTTTTATTTTTTACTTTTAAAACTTGGCAGACACAGATGAACCAACTAATCCATGTGGTAAGGTCTGGGTCAGAGTGGTCCTTTAACTGATGATTTAAAAAAGGAATTACAAAAACATCACTCACCAGTAAGTGTGCTCCACTGGTAACCTGATTAGCATAGCAGCTATTTCCCTGGAAGGTGTAATTTCTAAAACAGACTTAAATACTGTTACCATACTATCAAGAAACCAAGCAGGGCCAGGCGTTGGTGGTGCACGCCTTTAAACCCAGCACTGGGAAGGCAGAGACAGGTGGATCTCTTTCAAGACCAGCCTGGCCTACTGAGCAAGTTCTGGGATGGAAAAGTAAACCACTGCCATTCATGTATTTCACACAGCAAAGGATTCTAGATTTCAGTGAAATTTCCCAAAGCAGGAATACTGCCAGAAAGCCAGTTGCATTTTCTCCAACTTTTGGCTGAGTTTTTTTTTAAACACTGTGATAAGGTCTAGGAACATACACACAAATCTGAAATCTCAAGTTCCCTGGAGGTCAGTGCTGAAGAGAAGCATTCTCCCCCATCCTAAATGATGTCCTTCTCGCTGACTAGTGGAAGATTCTGCATCAGCAGAGTAAACACAAAAGCAGGTAAACTTCGCAGTGATGAATGTGAGCTCCCGCTGTTGCTGTTGAAATAAAAGTCATGTTGGGCCACAAGAGGACTAGGAACAAAAGTGCTTGGTTCCCCAGCCTGACAATCTTTAGAATTAGTTTGATTCCTCAGAACCCACATAAAGGTTGAAGGAGAAACCCTACTTCCAAAAGTCACCCTCCGGGACTGGAGAGATGGCTCCATGGTTAAAAGCACGATACTCTCTTAGAGAAACTGGTTCAAGTCCCAGCACCCTCATAACAGCTCACAACTGTCTGTAACTCTGTTCCAGGGGATCTGAAACCCTCACACTGACATACATGCACACAAAACACCAATGCACATAAAATAAATCTTTTATTTAAAAAAGCTATCCTATGACCTCCACAAACCCATGCACCCATACTGACACCCATATCAACATATACAAAGTATAAAAAAAAAAGCTTGAAAAGTCTTGTTGTACTCCATTTTTTTTTTTTTTTTTTTCAAGACAGGATTTCTTTAACAGTCCTGACTGTCCTGGAACTTGGACAGTAGACCAGACTGGCCTTCAACTCACACAGATCTGCCTGCCTCTGCCTCCTGGCTCTAATATAACCGTTTAAAGAACATTTCATTTTCACTTCTTGTCCTTGCTGATGAGAGAGGCTGAAGGAAAGAGAATTTATCTTGGACATCATTAACTTTACAAGTGTGTTTGCCTGGCATGGTGGAGCACACCTTTGATACCAACACTCAGGAGGCAGAAGCAGGTGGATTTCTCTGAGTCTGAAGCCAGTCTGATCTACAAAGTGGGTTCCAGAACAGTTAGAGCTATTACTCTGGTCCGGGACATAATTAAGGAGAAAGACATGGAAATGACCCATCCACGGGGTTTACTGTTTCTACTTCACCTGTATCCCAACTCTGTCTATAGTTCACACTCGTTCTCTGTTATCCCAGTTCAAGTCATTGTTATAACTACTTATCTACAGGAAACCCTAACTTGCCTCAGTAGTTTCCACTATAGCTTCCTTCCAAAACATCCTCCACACAGAATCCAGAATGACCCTTTTAAAAGCTCTGGGTACGGGTAAGTCAGGAGTGGTGGCTGACACCTGTCATCTCAGCACCCAGGGGCCTGAGGCGGAGGCTTGCTTCAAGTTGCAGGCCAACCTAAGCTAGTTTAAGACTCTGTCACACACACAAATAAAAATAAAACCATCTCCAAGAAGCCACTTATCCTCCTCAGCACAACACTCTCAAGGGTAAAGTCTTGAGCAGTTCTGTGAACTCAAGTTCCCCCAAAGAAGCTCCCCATACATTGCACGTTCTACAAAAAGATGATGATTAACTGTTTTACGACTGGAGTGGTTGGAATGTTACAGGTCCAGAGCCTGCACAAATTGTCTTGGGCTATCTTTAGCCCCCTTAATAGCCACTCACTGCCCACCACTATGCCCGACCAAACGTCCTGTGACTATCACAGGGAATCTACGGAACGTATTAACTTAGCCCACTAGCTTTCAATGTCAGCACCCGAGGCCTCTGGGAAAGGTTTCCCTGCACGATACAATAACCCATTTCCCTGCTGTACCAATATATACTTGAGGTGTTTTATGACGTTATTTTCTGTTACTACAAAAACTTCATGGAACTGTGGAACGTATAATTTGACGTACCCCAAATCTGTGTTTAGAGACCACCAACATTCCTATCTGACGCCAAAATAAACTCTTGCCACCTCTGAGGTGAGAACTGTTTGTTTATGCTAACAGTACCTACAAGCCCTTCCATCAGTCATGGAGATGGAGATTGTAAACAGTTTCTGACTTATAAATAAGGATTCAAAAAATGTTATCTGGAGACCCCCTTTCTTCCATTCCTTGATCCTGCCACAAATGCCTTCGCCTGGAACATTCCCTTCTGCTCCACCCTCCTTTCCAGGCGATGGCTCCCGACTTCAAAGATCAGTCTCGGTGCTCAGAAGGCCCCCATGCCACCAACTTATTTATTTCCGGCTCTCATCATACTCTGAAGTGCAACCGTTTGTATGTGTCCCCGCGCTTCTCACTCGTGACCCTTTCCAAGCACACCCTGGCCAGAGCCCAAGGGACCTTTCCCCCGAGAAATGGAGGTGACTCCGGAAGAGGGGCGGGCGCGATGCACTCTGGGAATTGTAGTCAAAACCGCGCGGAGGCGCCATGGCCAGAAAAGACGTGTACGGACCAGGCAGGTGAAAAGACCCCAGATGTGAACACGGAGGGGAAGGAGGGGACAACGCTTACCGAGACTCGGGATTCCGCGCCGGAGCTCCAGACACAAGAGAGGGAGAGCGGAGAGCAAGAAGATGCCAACGACGCCACGAGAAGCCATGGCGTGAAGGTCCCGCCGGGCGCAGTGCCCGCCCCTTCCGGCCGTGCCTTCCGGCGAGGCTGGAGCGATGACCTCGCGCCCTGGGTAATGCGGGCAAGATATTGTTAGGCCCTAAGGCTGCGTGCGGCGAGGGCCAGATGGGATGAGCCCCTCTGATATCAAGCCCATAGTGCTTGCCTCAGAAGGTGCGGGCCATCTCCAGGAGGTCCAGGGAGGTGCCCGTCCTGCGGTGATGGTCCGGATGGCTGTGGATTGACCGATTGTGAGGGTCTATAAGATGGCGCTAGGCCTTGTGACACTTGGGGGTTACTGGACCTGTGGTTCCTAGCTTATTAGTTACCAAGCATTTTCTCACCCTTACAGGTCCCGCTACCGAGTGCCTGCTCCCGCCCCACACCCGCCCAAAGATACCCTAGACCTGCTCCCCCTTATTGCTATTCCTGTCAGTTTGCCTAGGGGCGTTACTGTTATGACTTAACCTTGGCCTCACGGTTCTGTGACTTCACTGTCACTCCATGACTCACCTCTGGCAACCTGGCAGCTCAGGTACTGAGGGACTCCCCACTGATAGGATGTCCAACTTTGCAAATCCTTTGAAAACCTTGAAACTTGCAGTCACTCTTCAATTTAGCTCAAGTAACATTTATTATGTCCCACAGTTTGCCTGGTTCTCTAGTGCTCAGATATTCAAGTATGTGTAAATTACTGCATTTGTTCTGGACATGCCAGTTCTGGGACAGATGCCCTGTATAGAGATTGTATGATGTCCCGTACCATGACAGGAAACGTGTATATACACAGTTGCATTCTGCAGGGTGAAGTGTTTCCTGAGAAAATAATGCCTAGCTTGTGATGATTAGGAATCTGGGCTGGGTATGCCTATAATCCCAGCACTAGGGAGGCAATGGCAAGTAGATCTCTGTGAGTTTGAGACCAATTTGGTCTACATTGTCCTAAGCCAAATGGCAGTGTTGGGACATTATCCAAAAAAGAATGGAATAAATACATTTGGGAGACAGGATTTAAAAGGAAAACAGGAGATTTCAAGTTTAGGAAATAATGCAGAGGTGCTCTGGTGGCTAAAACGTTGCTGAGGTTTAATGTTTGTGTGTATACAGAGGAAGCTGGGCATGGTAGCACACCCAGCACTCTGGAGGCAGAGGCAGGTGGATCTCTGAGTTGGAGGCCAGCCTGGTCTGCTGAACAAATTACAGGACAGCCAGGGATTCACAGAGACACCCTGCCTCAAAATATTGGAAGGAAGGAGGGAGAAGGGAAGGAAGGAAGAAGAAAGGAAGTGTACAAACGAGAGTGAGCCCTAAATGGTATGTGTCCATCAAATCCCTCCCCTCAGGGATCAGGGAGCCCAAAGGAAAGGAGGCAGAAACTGTGAGAGCCAGAAGGTATGGAGAGCACCAAGAAAACAAGAGCTAAATAAAAAGATGAGTGCACATATGAATTCAGAGACCAAGGCGGCATTGGCATGCACAGGACTGCACCAGATGGGAGTCCTTTGAGTAACGTTTTCAAGATGGAGCTCTGGTTGTTAACATAGTTCATGGTATAATAGTTTTTGAGCAATAAGGTAAAGAAATGGAAATCAGATTCTCCACTCCCTTTTGGGTTGTTGGGGATTGAACCCAGACTTGTGCATCCCAACTCTGTTCCGTTGTAATGTGAATGGGGATTTGGCCAATTGAGTTCAGTCTCTCACTGTTGAAGAAGGAACCTGTTTTGTGAGCAACTGACCCTTCAGATAAATGAATTTTCAGGAAGTTCCCAAGTTCACCATGAAAATCTGTACTGATTTATAGTCTCTGGTTGGTAAAGATATTCTGGAACAAACACTAAAGCTAGAGTGATTGATGTAGAGATCTTTAATCTTAGCAGTGATGAGTAAGTTATAAACTACAGATATAATAAAATCTTATGTAACACTTCAATTTTAGTATATATGGAGAGGCTCTTTTTTTTTTTTTTTTTTTTTTTTTTTTTTTTAGTTAGTGCTAAGAAATAAACCTAGGACCTTATTCGTCTTCTTCAGGTATTTCAATTGGTATGTTGTATTAAAGGCATGTGCCACCATCATACCTGGCCAGTCAACACATTAAAGTTCACATAATTTATATACTAAACCAGGTCTGGGTGTTCAGACATACAATTCCAGCTACTCTGGAGGTTGAGGTAGGAGTATTGAAAGTTTGGCTACAGACACAATTCAAAACCAGACCCTGTCTCAAAAGAATTTAATCTGTAGTCACAGCACTTGGTGGGTGGAAGGAGGATCAGGAGCTCAGCGTCATCCTCATGCAAGCCTGCTACATGACTCTTGTTTGAAATGCTTCTATTTTTAAATAATATATCACTGTGTGTGTGTGTGTGTGCGCGCGCGCGCGCGCGCACGCGTGCCGTGCATGTGCACAATTGTAGGTATTCATTTTCTTTTTCTACCATGTGGGTACCAGGAACTCAGGTTGTCAAGAGTTGATAACAGTCCCCTCTATCCACTAAGCCATCTCACCAGTCCAGCTTTTACATTTTTTAATAATGGAGGATGCAATTCAGTGGCCAAGTACATGTTCAACATGTACAAGGCCCTAGGTTCAATCCCTCATACTACAAAAAGAAAAAAAAAATTAAGTAGTTGAACATAGTGACACGTGGTATAATCCCAGCTCTTAAAAGACTAAAACAGATTGCCATAAATTCAAACCCACCTGAGATACACAGGCCAGCCTGTGTAAATCTCTATATCAAAATACATACATACTCCAGACACAGTGGTGCACGCCTTTAATCCCAGCACTCAGAAGGCAGAAAGACAGATCTCTGTTAATTCAAGGCAGCCTGGTCTAAAGAGTGAGCTCCAGGACAGCCAGACTACATAGTGAGACCCTGTCTTCAAAAAAACAAAAAACACATATGCTGTCTTCGGGTTTCTGTTGCCATGAAGAGGCACCATGACCACAGCAATTCCAATTGGGATAGCATACAGTTTCAGAAATTTAGTCCTTTATCACGGCATGGTGCTGGAGAAGGAGCTGAGAGTCTATATCTGTTTTGTTTTTTGTTTTGTTTTGTTTTTCAAGATAGGGTTACCCTGTGGCTTTGGAGCCTATCCTGGAACTTGCTCTCAGAGTCCTACAGCTTGATCCACAGGTAGCAGAAGGAGTCTGTCCACACTGGGCACCCCTACAATGATATACCTCCAAGGGCACACCTCTTAGTAGTACCACTTCCCATAGGATCAATTTCTTTCAAACCACCAAACATGGAAAATATTTATGCGCTGAGAAAGAAGCTAAAATTGATAGTATGCTCAATGCCCAACACAGCATAAACTAGGTACAGTGGCACATCTGTAATTCTAGAAATTGGGAGTTCAAAGTCATCCTACATAGCAATTTTTTTCCAGACAATATATTTTTTGCTTGTTTCAAGTTTTATTCTTTAATATTTTTTTTGTTTTGTTTTGTTTTTGTTTTTTGAGACAGGGTTTCTCTGTGGCTTTGGAGGCTGTCCTGGAACTAGCTCTTGTAGAGCAGGCTGGTCTTGAACTCAGAGATCCACCTGCCTCTGCCTCCCAAGTGCTGGAACTAAAGGTATGTGCCACCACTACCCAGCCTTTCGTTAATTTTAAAATTATAATATTTTTCCTTACATCTGTTCAAACCTTTCCATATAATCTTTCTTGCTCTCTTTCGAAACCAAGGCCTCTTTTATCATTAATTGTTGTTATAGGCATATATATATATATATATACATATATGTATATACATATATGTATATATATATATATATATATTGCATTTAGGGGTGTGTGTGTGTGTGTGTTCCTAAATACATAAGTAAAATCTGCTTAGTCTGTATAATATAAGATATATGTGTGTGTGTGTGTGTGTGTGTTTTTTTAGAGCTAGCTGACCGTTTTGGAGAATCAATTGCTGTGCTCTTCCGTGAGAAAGACTATGTCTCCCACTCTCAGCATCCCTTAGTTGCCTATAGTTTTTTTGTGTGTGTAGGGTTGAAGTCTCATGCATGAGTTTTGTTTTAAAATGGCCTGGGTCATATGTATTAAGTACTTCTAAATTATTTTTACAAACTATACATTTTGTATTAAAAGAAACAATTAGAGAGCAGAGAGATGGCAAAGTGGGTAGGGTAAGAGTATGCTCTGCAAGCATGATGACCTCAGTTAGAATCTCCAGCTCTCATGTAAAAAAACAGGCATGACCACACATGCTTGTAATCCTAGCATGAGGAACAATGACAAGCCAAACTAGAGCGCTTGCTGACCTGTCATCTAACTCAAATGGTGAGTTGCTGCTTCAGTGAGAACCCTGTCTCAAGGAAATACGACAGAGAGCCACAGAGGAAAATATCCAGTCCTGCCCTGGTCATGGCATATACACAAATCCATGTGATTCCTATGCACAACCAACTAGTTTAATTGTGTTCGTTGTTTTTTTAAACTTTTCACAGGTTTTTGGTTTGGTTTGGTTTTTCAAGATGCTTTCTCTGTGTAGCTGAAAGGATGGAAAATAACAGCCTAAGTCTCCAATGAACCCAGAAAGCTACAAGTTTAAAAATACTATCTAAAAAGCCCTAAATGCCTTAAATTCCAGACCCTGTCCTCTGCCAGTAAATAGGTAAAAGGTCTAGGAGCCCATACAAATGCAGACCTCCAGGGTTGTAGAAAACTGATTGATCTATAAAGCATGGGCTTGGGTGATTTAAAATAATTGGTCTAAAAACTATAAAATGGTTTAAATTGATTGACTGCACCACACGGGCTCTTGATGCTTTGAGATGATTTGATGCACGGGCTTTGTTGTAAACCCTATAAAAAGTGTCTCGCCCAACCTCGACCAGCAAAGAAAAACGCAACTCAGGGAAGATCTTCTAGCAGTTTAATCAGGATCCTTGAACATGCTTCTTCTTCTGACCCCGGGGAAATGCCTGCACAGGCTTAAATCCCCTTGCGCTGACCAACCCTAGTGAGCCACGTGGACCCTGAAGATAGGCTGCTCTTATACGGAAGCAAGCAAGCTGAACAGGCTTAGCCAAATAAGGACTTGT